GTCTTAGCAGTTGTGAATTCTGCTGTAGTAAACATAGATGTGCAAGCAGTTTTCCAACTGAGCATTTTCCTACCCTTTGGGTAGATATCCAGGAGAGGAATTGGATCTTATGGTAGTTACATTTGAGATCTTTGAGGAACCTCCGATATTGATCTCTATAGTGGCTATACTAATTTACATTTCCACCAACAGTGTAGGAGAGTTCCCCTTCCAATTTTTAAAATGTCATCTAAATATATCCTTGTGTCATTTCTTATTTTCTGTATCTGAACTCTTTTCCCCTGCTGTCTTGATGAGTTTAGGCAGTGGTTTGTCTATTTTGTTAATTTCACCCTTCCCAAATCAGGGACTAGATTTTTTGATTATATCTACTGTTTTTTCCTATTCTCTACCTCTCTAGCTTAAACTTCTTCCTTCATTATTTCTTGCCTGTGTTTTCTGCTGTTTACTTTTTTGTTCTGTTCTAGCATTTACTAGCTGAGAAGTATTAATTCATTAATTTTTATTCTCTCATTTTTGTTGGCAAAAAGTGTTAGCACAATTAATTTTTCTCTGATTAATGCTTTAAATGTGTTTTGTAGATTCTGTTATATAGTGTTTTCATCATAATTTTTAATTCCATAGTTGCCATTTGTATTTTTTCTCACTCGAGTTAATAGGACTCTTAAATTTCTGCATGAGAGTGCTTTTTGTTGTTGTTGTTAATAATTGATACTTTTATAATTTGTGATCAAAAACTATTACTTACAGTATTTCTATCTTATGGAAATTATTGGTATTTTTAAATAATGTGATCATTTGTTGTAAATGTGCTATAGGTTCTTAAGACTATGTATTCCCTGGGGCCGGCAGGTGGCGTGGTGGTTGAGGGCTCTGGACTCCCACATGGCTGACCGTGGTTCAAGTCCGGGACCTGGCGACTTGGCTTTCCTTCTCACTTTCCCTCTCTCTCTCATTCTGTCCCTCTCTGGTCAAATTAAAATAAATAAATATAGTGAAATAAAATAATTTTTTGAAAAAAATAAAACAGAATATGTATTTGCTATTACTCAGGATGTAGAGTTAAATAAATATCTGTAAGATCTACTTTGATTGATTATGCTGTTTAGATCTATCTCCTTGATACGTACACTTGATCTGCCTTATACTGAAAATGGTGTATGAAATCTCTTATTATTACATGTTTCTGACTGTTTCCTTATAGCTCCTGTATTCTTTGCTTTTTAAAGGTGGTGATTATTTTATTTGGTTCATAGATGTTCATGAGCATGTGTCTTCACTATAAACTGTGGCATTTAGAACTGAAAAATGTCCTTTGTTGCATTTAACACTTAGGGGCTTAAATTCTGAGAGGAGATTTCCATAGAATTCTCAAGAAGGGCTAGTGAATATAGACTTCCCTAGATCTTGTATTTTGCGAATTGATATTTAAAGGAGAACTTGGCCAAATTTAAAAATCTTGGTTTTTACTTTCATTGAATTTTTTAAAAATATTACTCCAGTGTTGTCCTATAATTTCTTTTCATTTCTGAGATAATTTTTTGTCTCTCCTTCCATTACTACCTACTCTCTTTTCCTTCTTCCCTGCTTTTGTCCTTTCAGTTTTTTGTTTATTTGTCTGTGGTTGTTTTTTTGTTTTGTTTTGTTTTGTTTAGTTTTTTGCCATAGAGTGAGTGCACTCCCTGGAGAAAGAAAGAGACAGATGGAAAGTAAGAAATCACCTCTCAGAGGGGATAGCCACATGGAATGATGGGCATACACACACACGTGCCCAGTGTGATTTTCAAGGCACCAGATTTGGCTCTCGAACTATATAGTTGGCTACGTGGGAATCTGATGCCTTAACCACTGTGCCATCTATTGGCCCCCTTATTTTTAAATTTTTGATTCACAGTGGTTTTTCATATCTTCAAATGCTTGTATAGTATGTTTAAAGTATTCAATTATGATTTTCTTTTGATTCATGGTTTTTAAAAATATTTTTAAAATAATTATTTTATTTTATTTATTCATCCATTTATTTTAATTTGACCAGAGACAGAGAGAAAGAGAGAGAGGGAAAGTGAGAAAGCAAGCCACCAGGTCCGGGACTCAAACTGTGGTCAGCCATGTGGGAGTGTCCAGCGCCTTAACCTCCATGCCACCTGCTGGTCCCAATTCATGGTTATTTTTCAGGTGAAATTTTCATGACATGGAGTGTTTTGAAAAGATTCCTAATGTAATGACACTATCTTCTTTTACTATAGCAGAGTCCAAATAACATAGCAGTTTGTTTTGAGTGACTGTTGGGTGAGGGGCGAGTCCTTAGATTCTCTGGTCCTCCTCTGACTTGTAGGACCTTGGATATCCTTCCTTTTTTCTTTTTACCTTTTTACCTTAACACCTAATTGCTGCAGGGTACTTCTTTTTGCCTTTTTTTTCCTTTGAGAAGCTGTGAGTTTTGAAGAATGCCTCTTATTTATTTATTTATTTATTTATTTTGAGAGGTTTTTACTATAGGGCACCTACACTCGCCAGAAAGACAGAGAGAAACAGAGAGATAGAAAGTGAGAAATCACCCCCCCCAGGGGGGATGGCCACACCACAATCCCTTCTCCTCCATTCTCCTCTTGGGCATGCACGCACACACACCTGGCGTGAGTTTAGCCACCGGATCTGGGACATGAGCCGTGGTCAACTACATGGAAGTCCAGCAACATAGACATTACACCAACTACTGGTGCCAAGGAATGCCTCTTTAAGTTGGGTCTGTCCACTTATATTGTGCAGACTTTGAAGTCCCTTCCCTGAAATCTCTGCTCTAGTGCGCTTAGGCAGCTTTATAGTTTTTCATCTTTGCAGTGGATTTTTGGGGGAGGGAGTGTCATTATATTTTAATACTAATTAAAAACAGGTTCTTACCATGTTGCAGTTCTCCTGCCTCAACTTCTTAGCTGGGACCACGGGCAAGCGCCACCATGCCCAGCTCTTTTTCAGGACAGGCGTTGCTTTGTTGCCTAAGCCAGCCTCAAGGTTGGGCTCTTCCTACTTCAGCCTTCCAAAATCACTGGGATTATAGGTGCTTGCCACCTCACCTGACCAGAGAAGTGAACCTAGCCTCCTGCATGGTCTCAGCCTATAGGGCACAGAGTTTGAGCAGCATGCATCATTGGCTAAGCCTGAGCATCATTTTAAATCATTGTTAGGTCTCTTTGCTGATGCCCCTCTTCTTCCTCAAAGCTCTTCTCCCTCTGCTTGTTCCTCACAGAGCTTGTTGTATCACTTCTTGGCTGAAAGCATGAGGGAGAGCTCATAGTAGGATTCAGAGGATTCAGTGGTTTCCTCTTTTTTGGAGAGAGACTTTTGCTATATGGCGTATATACTCACCAGAGAGACAAAGAGGGAGAGAAAACAAGAAATCAACCCCTGAGGGGAGGGCAACACCACAATCTCTTTTTCTGCATTCTCTTCTCGGGATTTTGGACATGCACACACATGTGCCCAGCATGAAACTTAAGCCACCGAGTCAGCCATGCAGAAGTCCAGTACCCTAACCACCACACCGCCTGCCAGCCACAACATTCTCTGTCTTTAAGCTAGGCCTATGGTTTGATGTAGAATTTAGTTTTCCCCTTTAATTGTTTTGTACCCTTTGTTAATGAACTATTGGTAGACAGATGAGAGCTAAGTAACCATCATTGTCTTCAGCTGCCTGTAAGTCAAGAGTTTACCCCAAGAAATTACTGAGTCATGTGACCAGCAGGTGGCGCAGTGGTTAAAGTGCTAGACTCCCACATGACAGGCCATGGTTCAAGTCCCCAACTTGGTGACTAGCTTTCTCACTTTCCCTTTGTCTCTCTCTGGTAAAAATAAATAATAATAATAACAACAAATAAAATAAATAATAAAGAAAGAAATGATTGGGTCATAGGAAAAGTCATGACTTACGTTTCCATGTTTTTCTGTACAAATACATCACAACTTTTCAGACAACCAACATTTTAAGTGTTTTTTATGTAGTTCAGAGTTCAACATTTTAAAATTTTAGTCTATAGAGGACATTGAAACTAATATGTAAACCCATAATATAATGTTTTTATATTGAATAAATCCATTCATTGAAAAAGGTCAGTTTAAAAAATATTAAATAATAGTTTAAGTATTAAACATATTTGGCAAAAATCGTGACTGTGTTTGCAAGTGACTAAAGAAGCTGGGAGATACCGGCACATGGGGGAGTGTTTTCCAACCTGAAAACAATTAGTCCAGCAGCAAAGCCTCGCAGGCTGACCACCTGGTTCCTGAGGGAGGTTGCTGGCACTAGGCCAACGGTGGGGTCAGTGGCTGTTTGCAAAGGGCCTCCTACCTCTGGAACTCTGTACCAGTCAAAACGTCATTACCCTAAACATATACAAAATCTTAGGACTTTGGGACTGAATACTTTTAACATTAGAATATTATATTTTAAATGATCTTTAGTTCATGTACAAGCAAAAACAAAATGCTAACTTTACCGAAGTTTATCATTTACGGACTGTGTGTGCAACTTTTGAAATAAATAAAATTAATTTGTTCTTCAGACCCGGTAAGATAGAGAATTATTCACACATGAATTATTCATGTTGTATTAAGAATGTGTGTAACTTGATACTATGCCGATGTGTGTTGAGGCATATAAACTAGTTTCTTGAACAAAATTTATAGGGTTTGTAATTTTCAATATCAATAAACCAGTCATGATAGTTTATTATAAGAGTTTCAGCCAAAATTGTTTAAAATGACTATTTCAAATCTATAAAGCTAAGTAAATATCAGACAATGTTAGAAATAATGAGGTTAAACGTAATTGATGGTCGTTATTCCTGAGAAGATGAAGTTTAAAGTCATCTCCTCATATGTCCTATAAAGTTTTCCAGCTCCACAGGGGTCTGTATTTGCAGATGAAGTTTTTTGAAAGCAAATTGAATTAGACTGCAGTGTGCTTTATGAGGCCATCTAAAGCGAGGTTTTGTTTGTTTCAGAAGCGGGCATGCAGGAGAGTAGAAGCAAATGGGCATGAGTGTGGCTGGCACCAGGCGAATGCATGTGCACCGGCATCCTGGGGCACAGAGGGCCAGGAGCCTCCGCTGAGAGGCTGCCCTCCTGCATCGAGGTTGGAGAGTGGCCAAGGAAAGCCAAGTACAGTGGTATGTTCCTGTTCCCCCTAAACCAGGTGTGAACCCACCTAAATATCCTAATAAAAACTATAACTAACCATTGTTCTGATATATCTGCGGCTGTGATTTGTTAAATAGATTCCTCAGACTGGTGGAAGGAGCTCGGTCCAGCCTTGCCCGAGATGTATTGCGGGAGAATCTGTAAGTGCATTAACATTCTTGCTGTGACATAAAAGATAGACTTCTTAAATATTAGATCCATAAAACAAAGTTAATAAAAACTCCAATTACGTTTCTAAGGAATGAGGGACATAAATATAAAGGTGGAGATTGATTTAAGCTTTTCTTAGCATTCTACTAGGGTCCAAACTAATTTGTTTCCAGCTTCAGATTGGATATAGAAATTGTAAATACATTTAAAATTCTTTGTAAAAAACAAGGTTTAGGAGAGGAAGCAGGTCACTTGATTTGGGCCAGATGGTGGTACAGTGGTAACAAAACTGGACCCATATGGGAAGGGGATTCAAGGCCTAAGGTCTTGCTTCTCACACTCAGGTATATGTACCCGTATGTCCTTGATCCTGATTAGTCAATGCTGGGGGCTGGATTACGGTGTGAGGACTCAGTTAGAGATCAATTTCTCTCTCTCTTCCTCTCAGAAGAAATGAAACAGACTTAAAATATAAATAAATAAAAATTTAGGAACATCATGGAGAAGAAATCTTGCCTCATTTAATTGTACAAATAGGAATCAACATTTTTTTTTCCATTTAAGCTTTGCTTATATGTTTTCTTAAACTTCACAGAAATCACAGATTCAAAAGGAAGCATGGTGTTTGCACCATTAATTCAAAGTGAAGGGAGGCCAAAAACTGTTCAGGTTCAAATTCTCAGTCTCTGCTATTGGGCAGAATATCATAAAGTATATATTAGCATAATAATACCTTTGTTATTAATTTTGACCTTACTCTAAGAACAAGTTAATATGTCTTTGATAACCTCTATAATTCTTGGGTTTTTTCATTTTAAAATTGATATCTTAATATTGCAATAAAATAGAATTATATTTAAATTCCACAGAGAAACCAGGAGAGTGTGTGTGTGTGTGTGTGTGTGTGTGTGTGTGTATGTGCGTGCGCATGCATGTGTGTATTTCTGATATTGCCCCCTAAAGATCTTTACAGAAAAAGATCTGCTGTTTTTCATAGGCAAAAGATTGAGTCAGTAAATTATAGAGATCTTCATTGACACATTGCAGGCTACTGTGTTTTACAATGATAGACATTGATTTTGGTTTAAACAAAGACCTGAAATCGTGGCAACCATCACCCAAGAGAACTTCTGATTGATTATCTGATGTCATTAGACAAATATGAAAAAAATTAGTGGAAAAATCACTTTGTGAATATGTATTTCACTATTTTTTATAATCTAACTTCAGAAAAATTTCTGCATGTTGTTTTGATGTAATTCTAGACAATGGTAAAATCAGAGATCCAGCGATTTGGGTCACCTGGTTGCATGATGGTTAAAGTAGCTGGATCCCAAATGACTGACAATGCAATTCAAGTCCCAGTCCTAGCAGCTTGAGAAACATGCCAGGGACGTGTACCTGTGTTCCCAAAATCCTGAAAGGAGAGAGAAATAGAGGATGAAAGATTGTGGCATGACCATTCCCATGCAGGGTGCTTTCTCACTTTCCTTCTCATGTATTCTGTCTCTCTCCAGTAAGCACACATGCCCTCTGGCAAAATTTAAAAAATGAAAAATATAGATTAAAAAAGATACCATAATTTGACATTAGTATATTTAGGTTGTTTCATATACCTGCCAAACACATCCTGGAATACAAATAAATAACACTTATCTTCAGAAATAGGGCCCTAGTATGATTAAATTCCATTATTTGCTTTTGGCTCACTAGGATCCTTCCTTTTTCCTACCCCATTTCCATGGACTGTATCTTTCAAATCTCCCCATCTGTTGGAGGCAAACACTTGGAATGTAATATGGATTCTTAATGCTTTGAGAGCTTGTGTTCTGGCATGAATGGCTTAAAGAAAAAAAAATAATATTTAGCTTAAGCAACTGATTGGATCATTTTGGCTAATATTCTGTTTGAACAACAGTACCTGTTTGATTAGGATTTTCCTTCCTTTGTAATTCCCCAAGCTTGCCTCTCTTATGTTTCATAGGAAATGAATCTATGAGCAGAAAACCTACATTGATATGTAAATATCATTTTTTTGTTAATGCTCAATATTCTTTTCATCTAAATTTCAGAAACTGACTTTAAAAAATCAGTTTCCTTTTATTTGTAGTTATTCTCAATAAAATTTTACCCAGGCTTGGGCGTTTTAATATTTACACCCACTATTGCTAAAAGTCTTATGTAAATAAAGATTGAAATGTGAATTTGAAAAGTCACACCTTTTGATATTTGAACAGACTATAGCTGCATATATCTTCTTTTTCTAATAATATGGCTAGTTTCTCTCCTAAGCTTTTAAAATAATAAGACACTTACTATTTTTGTATTCTAAAACATCAGAAGATTCAGAGTTAAATAAAAAGCAAATAGTATTTTTAGAAATGCAAGATCCCAGGGAGTAGTGCTTAACAATAAATCGCTGATGGGCAACAATTCCAAATTTTAGAAGACTTTATTAAACTTGTGGTTCCATTCACAAATGCTTGCCCATCTACACATGAGCATGCCCCCGCTCTTGGCCCACAGTTTCCATCAGCAACTCAGAATGGCTGCCTTGGGTTGAAGAAAAGCAAAGGTTATATCACTGGTAGTTTGTGTGAAATTCCTTACAGGAAATTTGCATGTGATTCTCAACGTGTTTGGTAGCTTTTGCCCAGTAAGCACCTTTGCATCTGAGTCTCTAGTGCATTTCTGACCTCAGTAGAGTATCAGCTGATCTGTCAGTCCTGCTCTGAATTTTCAGTATAACCCTCTCAGCTATGGGAACTGAGTTCCTGTTGTGCTTCTATTCCTCATTTTTATCATTGAGTCATTTCTCACATGTGCCAGTCTTAATTTCTCACAAATGCAGGGACTTTTTCCAAGTTTGCATTTTGGTCTGTTTTTCTATTTGACCCATCTTAGTTCATTGTTGCACTGTTTCCTGTTTCAGGTGTTGCTAATATGATTTCTTATAGTAAATCACTGTTAACTGTTGAACCTATGGTACACCTTACTATTTAAAAACATTCCCTCTTAAGTCTGAATCACCTTACTCATGTTACTGACAGTTGGAAAAAATGGTAGAATGTGGCATAATGGCTGCTTGTCTTCACTGAAGTGAGCTACCCGGGGCTGCAAGTTCAGCAGCAGTGCAGATCACCAATTTGTAGTCACTGGGAGACTTACTTTCCTTCCACTAATGACTCCACAGCCAGACCTCACCTTGGCAGCAGGCTTCCTTTCTCGGCTTAGTTCGCCTTGCTTGGCATAGGGGCAGTGTGGTAGCCAAGTGTAATATGGAAGTTACACAGTACTTTGCAAATTCAAGCCAATTAAAGGAAACCTAACTAGGCTGCCAGAGGTCTCCACAGTAATTAAAAGAAGATACATGAAAAGGAAAGGGACATTATAAGGCAGATAGTTGTAGGAAAAAAGGATTTAGGCTGTTTGTTGAAGGGAAAGGTAATATTTCTTGAGCACCATGTTTTCCAGGTGGTATCAGGTCTCCAATATTGCAGTTTCCATGCAGCTCCTCTGCATTGAACTCCTTTAGAGAAGGGACCTCAGATTTTACTAGATCAGTGGATTAGTCAGTTACCTATTTTGTTTGTTTGTTTGTTTGTTTTTTGTCCCCCCCTCCCCCATTCCTTGCCTTTGTTTCCTTGCTACTTTGTATTTTAGGAACTGTATTTCCCAGACACCCTGGGCTCTGATTTCTGGGTAGGTTCAGCTAATAGGAAGCATTGGTGAGACACAAATTTAGCAGAGAAAATAGGGAAGAGGCTGGAAACTTCCCCTCAGCCCTTTCCCCAGGGGCCCAGATCCTTTAGAGCAGTCCTTGTCTAGTCTCAACTCTTGCTGGGTGGCATGGGCTCCTGAACTGGGTGGGTCACAAGCCTCCTCCCTTTGTCCTCCTAGCCTTTGGGTAGTGGTGTCCTACTGTGGTGAATAATTGGTTGCTTCACCTTCCCCTAGTGTCCCATCTCTCCCATCATTTGTGTAGTCAAACCCTATATTAAATTCCCTCTATTTGAAATAACTAAAATTGGTTTCTATTTTCTCACTAACCCTAACCTGGGCTAATAAGCTAATTATGAATGAGTTCTCCTGGGGAAAAAAGGCTGTTTATTTTTATTTATTTATTTTATTGTCAGAGGGTGTATGCACTCACCAGAAAGAAAGGGAGAGAGAAAGCACCCCTCAGTGGGGTGCAATCATGCTGCAGTCTCCTTTGCTCCATTTTTCTTTCCATCAGGACTGTGGGCACACAAACACATCATGCACCTGACATGCTTTTCAAGCTTTCTGTGCTAGGGTTCAAACTTTAGTCAGCAAGTGGGATCCAACTCCCTAACTGCCTATCTATGGGGCTAGTCCCCCCAAAGATGGCTATATTAAGCACAGAGCTCTTAGTGTTTGTTATTCACTCTCAAGACTCAGGTTCTTTTTTTTTTTTTTTTAAGAGAGATTTTTGCTATAGGGTGCATATACTCTCCAGAGAGGCAGAGACAGAGAGACAGAAAGCAAGAAATCACTCCCCACTCCTCACAGAAGGAATGACCATACTCCAGTCCCTTTCATTCTCCTTTCAGGATTTTGGGCACACACATACACACACCCAGTGTGAGTTTTAAGCCTCTGGGTCCAGGACTCGAACCTCAGCTGACTACATTACATGGGAGTCCAGCGACATAACTATTACACCATCTGTTGGTCCCCAAGGTTCAGGTTCTTAATGCTGCAAGTTTAGCATTCTGGAGTGCTGGCAGAGCCAGTTGCAGCTGTAAGTCTGGATATGAGGTAATATTGACAGTGTGGATATCAAAGTTAAAAATAGGGACCAGCAATTAGCGTAATGGCTATGTCACTGGACTCCCACGTAGTCGACTGCGGTTCACGTCCCAGACCCAGTGGCTTAAAACTCACACCGGGCACGTGTGCGTGCATGCCCAAGATCCCAAGAGGAGAACGGAGGAGAAGGGACTGCAGCATGGCCATCCCCTCTGGG